AATCTGATTCCATATAATTTATATGTAAATGTTTAACTGCCAATCTAGACCTCTCCAACACTGCTCCCATGATGTAGCCACTGAACCTTCCTTCAGTAGCATCCACCCACCCTTCCTTGAGGGCATCTACCCAGCCTCCCTTCTAGGGCCTCCACCTATATTTCCTTCAATGGCATCTAGCCACCCTTCCTTCCACACCTTCAACTTTGGTATCTACACATCCTTCCTTTCATGCCTCCAATAGATCCTATTTCCATGCCGTCAACCTATCATTTCTTCAATGGTATCAACCAGTCCTTCCTTCCATGGGACCTATGTGCCAACCCATCCTTCCATTCAAGTCATGTACTCGTGTGTCCACCCATCCTTCCTTCCATGGCATCTCGCCATGTAGCTACCCATCCCTGAGAGGTATAGATGTACCCTAACATACAGGATCTGCATGTTAGCATCCCCAGCACTGGAGTATTTTAAAATCACCCAGCTCCCAACCTCAGAATTTCTCCAGATTGTGCAACCAACAGATTTCCCCTAGTGACACCACAACAAGGAGACCTGGGGGTAAGCTCACACTAGTTCCATTTATTCACTTGTCATCACTGATGGCACAGAAAGTATTTACAGGAAGCTCTACCGCACAATGCTAGCAGTGGGGCTGGGAGAAGCCATCAGCATTTACCGTCTTCATGGCAGATGTTTTGTTGGGTGAATTTCATTGGTTTCAGGGCTTCATGGATGACCATGCAGGTGAAGGTGGTTCCTTTCTTCCAACTGGCCTTGTCAACTGTCATCTTGCTATAGAGGAAGTAGGTCGAGTCGCCATCTCCTTCCTTCATGGGCGAGGTGGTGACAGATTTGTTGCGGTCGCTGGATTTGTTATTCTCCATCCACTTCACTGAGATGTCCTTGGGGTAGAAGCCCCTCACCAGGCAGGTGAGGCTGACAGTATCCCCATTGCTGTTGCTTTTCACTTCATCAGGGTGGGGGCGCAGGAGGTAGACACTCGGAGCAAAGCTCGTTCCTTGTGTAGGTGGGAACAGAGGACACAGATGAGCCAGGCACATCACTGGGCTGGGCCCACATGGGAAGATGGACAGGGCCTGTGTTTCTTTTGGGGGAGGATGTAGGAACATGCCCTCTGTCCTTCAGGTCAGTGGGGAGGGCTGGAAGTGGGGACGTCCTTAGGTGTGGAATGGGAGGTAGGATAGCATCATCCCACATGGGGATGGAGAGGGACCCAGGGCCAGGATCCCAGGTGGTTGAGGGGCTGGGACTCCCCCTGACAGACCTTCCCTCCCTGCTGGGGGCTGTAATAGGGGTCTCTCTCTTAGGGACCATGCCCTCCTCCTACCTTGGTACTTGGAGATGGATTTGATGATGGGTGAGGGCAGCCCCGAGTACTTCACTTTGCATCTGTATTGCTCTCCATCCTCCCACTCCTTCTCCGTAATGGACAGTGTACTGTTGGCAGAGAAGGTGTGGTTTCTCTGCAAATCCATGGAGGGGTTGGTGTTGTTAGTGGACCCTAACTTCTCTTTGGTCCATTCCACTTTCAGTGGATCGTTGTTAGGCAGGTTGACAACCAGGCAGGTGAGTGTGGGGCTGCCAGCCGTATAGAGTTCAGAAGGTTCTGGGGGCACGATGAAGACGAGGACGTCTGGAAACAGGAGAACCCATGTCAAATGTTAGGCCTGGTCTCTTATGCCCAAGGCCACCCCAGTCTCCCCTCTCCTCCCTCGAACCCAGCCCGGTGTCACCTTCCCACTCATCCCAGACATGACAGCTCTGTGCACTTACGGGCTTGGTCCTCCACTGTATTGCCCTACAGAGACCTCTGCCTCATTTCCCAGTACTGTTGCTTCTTTTGAAGGGTCTCTCTCTTTTCATCCCTCCCCCTTTCTCTGCATGCTCCCCTTTTCTCCAGACCCAACACCACCTCCCTAACCCCAGACATTCCTTCCTTTCCAGGGCGTCTCTCTCTTTCCCACCATCCACGCTCCCACCCTCTCTCCTTACAACCATCATTGCATCAGTGAACCCTCCCTTTCCTCTCTCACAGCCGCGCTGCCCCTACTTGGGATTTCCTTGGTGATGGTGGAGCTGGTGGGCTCGTGCTTGACATTGCAGCGATAGGTGTTGGATTCCCAGCTGCTGGCCAGGACGGTGGCTTGGCTGCTGAGTGAGTAGAGGTCGCCAGAAGTGTGCTTCATGGACGGGTAGGTCTTCAGACCCGTTGAGCCGATGCTGGGGCTCCACTCCACAGAGACCGGCTCAGGGAAATAGCCATTGACCAGGCAGCCGAAGGTGACGTGGGTGGTGTTGGCTTCAGGGGAGCAGGAGGTGAGGGGAAAGACGGACGGGGTTTTGGGACAAACTAAAAAAAGAGAAAGAGAAAGACCATGAGATGTGGCCCAAACTGAGCCTGCACCATGATCCATTTTATTTTCTTCCTAGGATGAGCCTAAAGAATTTGCAGAAAGGTACAGAAAGGATCAGAGGGAAAAGGAGGCAGAGAGAGACTGAGGAAGAGACATGGTGGCAGCAGGTCAGTGCAGAGTTGAGTAGAGAACCCAGGCATCCGTTGTCTCAACCTCTAGTCTTTCAACCAAACGATGCCCAGTGCAGATGTCACAGTGTGCCCTAGAAAGCATTAATTTCACCAAATGGAGGGTTATATGATGGGGGCTAATTTGGCTATGACAAATCAGGAAAGAGATCTTGGAGTTATCATGGATAGTTCTCTGAAAATGTCCACACAGTGTGCTGTGGCGGTCAAAAAGACAAATAGAATATTAGGAATTATTAAGAAAGCGATAGAAAATAAGACAGAGAATATCTTACAGCCCCTATATAAAACTATGGTACACCCATATCTTGAGTACTGTGTACAGATGTGGTCTCCTCACCTCAAAAAAGATATTATGGCCTTGGAAAGAGTTCAGAAAAGGGCAACTAAAATGATCAGGGGTTTGGAACGGGTCCCATATGAGGCGAGGCTAAAGCGACTGGAACTTTTCAGTTTGGAAAAGAGGAGACTGAGGGGGGATATGATAGAGGTCTATAAAATCATGAGTGGTGTGGAGAGGGTGAATAAAGAAAGGTTATTAATTAATTCCCATAATATAAGGACTAGAGGACACCAGATGAAATTAATGGGTAGCTGGTTTAACACTAAGAAGCGAAAGTTCTTCTTCACACAGCGTATAGTCAACCTATGGAACTCCTTGCCAGAGGAGGCTGTGAAGGCTAGGACTATAACAGAGTTTAAAGAGAAGCTATATAAATTCATGGAGGTTAGGTCCATAAAAGGCTATTAGCCAGTGGGTAGGAATGGTGTCCCTGGCCTGTTTGTCAGAGGCTGGAAATGGATGGCAAGAGACAAATCACTCGATCATTGTCTTTGGTCCACTCTCTCTGGGGCACCTGGTGTTAGCCACTGTCGGCAGACAGGTTACTGGGCTAGCTGGACCTTTGGTCTGACCCAGTACGGCCGTTCTTATGTTCTTATGTACCAGTAACTGGAGGTGGGATTTTTCTGAGGGGCTCTCCAATGTGGTGTTGTGTCATTAACTTTTGGTTTCTTAAGGATCTGTATGAAGATGCGTTCACGTTATATTTGCAGTTCTAGCTGGGCAGGGATATTGAATACCATACTCTCATTTGGTTCCTAAATTCACTGCTAGGACTCTTCGCCCCCTACTGGCTCGTTATCAAGTCTGTTGCTCACTGCGTTCATAAGTGTCCTGGGAAGTCCCTGGATCCTTCATAGGAACAGCTGGGACTTTCCAAGTCAACTCGGCCACGTGGGGTCTTTGGCTGAGAGTGAGGCTTAATATTATCTGTAGGCGAGGAGTTCAGATGAAGTGCTGTAGATTACAGAGGAAGTATGAAATGCCATAGCGAATGGTCAGGGTTCAATACTTTCCCACGCTCCAGTTCAATATTTGACATGTTGTGGTTGGATTTCAACCAGTTTTGAACCTTTCACCCATTGAGATTCCTACCGGGTGAGTGAGACTCTGGGCTCCTAACCCAAGGGGCCAATTTGCCAAGATACTTGATAGTTCTCATGCCAGGATGCTTGATACTTGAGTGGTGATGTGGAACCCTAGTGGGCTTAGGGCCATGGGGAAGTGGTTACGGGTAGCACTGGGTTATGGTTAAGGCAGAATTGTTCTTTAGTACTTGTCACACAATGGTCTAGAAATCGAAGGTCAGGGACCTATCACGCTATGTCCTTTAAAAAGAAATATCAAGGAGAAGTCAACGCATCTCGAGACCATGGCGGCCTGAGACTTCTATAACCAGGATTCGGGGGTAAGGTTAGGGACGTTGTGGTTAGGGGGTTGGGTTCAAAGAGATGGTCAAAGATGAGGGTGAGAATTAGGGACTAGTGGATGGAGAGCCAGGATTAAGGATGAGATTAGGATCGTAGGGAAATGGTGATGACTCGGGTGTGGGAGTCAAGAAGTTGGTTAATCTTTTGGAGGCTGGACGTTGGGTCGAGGCTCATGGTTAAGGACTTGGGGGTATAAAGAGCTGGGTTTAAGGGTTGGGTTAGAGTGAGAATTCTTGGATTTGGTTAACAAACTCAATCTTGGACAGGCTATCATACCTCCTAACTCATGGGCTTACTAACCTGCTTCCCCATTCACAGAATTGCTCATATTCCCACTGATTTGGATGAAGATTTTGCTGGCCACTTTCCTAACATGTCTGGGAGGAATTGGGTGTCCAACCTGCAGACACCTTGGAGCACAGTTACCAGCGTCGCCATCTCCAGCCGGAGATGTCAGCGCTGCTCTTCTCTGGAAAGGGCGAGCCACATGTCTCCAGTGAGGGCACCACAAACAAGGAGCCAGCTCCATTCACAGACTAAATTACTGACCAGAACACTGAGCTGTCACCAGGACTGGGATGTGGCTCTGCAGAGAACTCCCTGTGCTCGTCTCTCGGCATGGAGAATGAGCGCAGAGCTGGTGGCCGAAGGCAGGGACAGCACAGAGACGCACTTCTGCACTTCTGACAAGGGACACTCTGAGCCCGTGTTTAGAAAGTTTTGAGTTGCAAACTTTTTTAAAAATTGGACTAAAGAGACGAGACAATTAAATCCCCGTAGGAAAAAACAAGTTCAGTCGGGCAATTCAGTCATAGGAGAAGTAACTCAGGGGATGTTCCCAGAGCCCCAAATCACAGACTGGGCTGTCCCCGCTCTGGAACACCTCTCATCTCAGCCTCCAGATACCCCAGCCCGGGCTCTCCAATACATCGGCAGCGCCCCGCATTCCTCATCTGCACCTGCCTTGTATCCAGACCACGGGCTTGCCAGCCCTGACTCCCAGCCCACAGCGTCTACCTAGCCCTGGGCTGCTCAAGATTTGCCGGTGCTCCTCACTCCCAACCTGCAGTCCCCCAGCCCATCCTTGGGCTCCCTCTAAACCTGCTGGCTCTACTCACTCCTGTCCCTCAGCCTCTGATAGTTCTGGAATCCAGTCCTGAGCTCCCCAGCCCTGCTGGTGCACTCCAATTAAAGATGAGGGTCACAATTAGGGGGTAGGGGGTCGTGCCCCTCACTCCTGACTGGCACCCCCCCCGAGCCGTACAACCGCGGCCCTGCAGGTGCCCATCACTCCCACCCCACAGTTCCTGCCTCGCCAGCACTGGCCCCCCGGCCCTGCCAGTTCCCCCACCCCTGACCTGCAGCCCCACACAGCCCAGCCCTACAGCCCGAATCCTGCCAGTGCTCCTCACTCCCAACCTGCAGTCCCCCAGCCCGTCCTTGGACTCCCTCTAAACCTGCTGGCTCTACTCACTCCTGTCCCTCAGCCTCTGATAGTTCTGGAATCCAGTCCTGAGCTCCCCAGCCCTGCTGGTGCACTCCAATTAAAGATGAGGGTCACAATTAGGGGGTAGGGGGTCGTGCCCCTCACTCCTGACTGGCACCCCCCCCGAGCCGTACAACCGCGGCCCTGCAGGTGCCCATCACTCCCACCCCACAGTTCCTGCCTCGCCAGCACTGGCCCCCCGGCCCTGCCAGTTCCCCCACCCCTGACCTGCAGCCCCACACAGCCCAGCCCTACAGCCCGAATCCTGCCAGTGCTCCTCACTCCCAACCTGCAGTCCCCCAGCCCGTCCTTGGACTCCCTCTAAACCTGCTGGCTCTACTCACTCCTGTCCCTCAGCCTCTGATAGTTCTGGAATCCAGTCCTGAGCTCCCCAGCCCTGCTACTGCCCCTCAGTCTCGACCTGCAGCCCCTGCTAGCCCAGCCGTGACCCACCAGAGCAGCCTGTGCCCTTCACTCCTGACCCACAGCCCCAGCAGACCTCACCATACAACCCCAGTGCTGCCAGTGCCCCTCACTCCTGACCCACAGTTCCTGCTAGTCCAGCCCTGGGCTCCCCCAGCCCTGCCGCTGCCCCTCAGTTTTGACCTGCAGCCCCTGCTAGCCCAGCCGTGACCCACCAGAGCAGCCTGTGCCCTTCACTCCTGACCCACAGCCCCAGCAGACCTCACCATACAACCCCAGTGCTGCCAGTGCCCCTCACTCCTGACCCACAATTCCTGCTAGTGCAGCCCTGGGCCCCCCTGCACTGCCCATGTCTCCCACTCCTGATCCACAGCTCATGCTAATTGCTCAGCCCTGGGATCATGACCCACAGTCCCTGCCAGCACAGCTACATTCCTCCCACTGCGTTTGTGCCCCTCACTCCCATCCCGCAGCCCCCCAGCATTGCCTTGGGTTCCCTGCACCTCTACCAGTGTCCCTCACCCCCAATCTGCATCCCCTGCTAGCTCAGTTCTGGGATCCCCCCAGATCACTGTTGGTGCCCCGACGCCAGAGGTCTTGGGCCCTGGAGTCCTTTCACCCCTTGTTTCCCAGCCGATGGGGGGGTGAGGATTCAGCTCTGTCTCCCTATTTCTGCCTTGGGGGACACAGCCTGCCCTGGGTTACTCCTCTCGGGCTCCCACCACACCCAAGCCATGCATGGGGAGCCAAGCGCTGCACCCTGCCCCACTGCTGTGTCTGCACAGGGGGATGTGCCCCACGGCTCTTCAGAGCTCAGGGGAGACCTCAGCCCACCTGGCTCCCAACCCCACCTCTTTCTCAACCACTAGCCCCCACTGCCCTCCCAGGGCTGGGGAGAGAATAGAGGAGTCCTGGTTCCTCTCTCCAGCACACACGGCTTCCCTAAGGGTGCTCGCTGTGGTGGGAGAAAGCCCCCCAAACTCACATGAGAAGCCAAGAGTTCCCTGGTGGGTCGCTACCGGGCACTCTTGGCCGGGGGTTCTGTCTGGGAGCCCAGGCTGCCATGCCATTCATTTCCCCTGACTACTGACCCACAGCTCCCCCCATCCCAGCCCTAAACCCTGAATCCCAGCATTGCTCTTCACTCCTCACCTATAGCCTATGCCTGCCCAGCCCTGGGCTCCCCCACTCTGCAGGCTCCACGGACTCCCGACCAGCAGCTCCAGCGAGCCCAGCCCTACAACCTCAGCCCTGCTGGTGCCCCTCATCCCAGACTCGCAGCCCCTGCCGCCAAGTCCTGAGTCCTGCCAGTGCTCCTCACTCCCAACCCAGAGGTCACTATTCCCCAGCTCTGCTGATCCCCCTCACTCCCAACCTGCAGCCCCAGCTACCCCAGCCCTGGGCTTCCCAAATGCTGCCTGTCCCCCTCAGCCCCAACCTG